TTCTATATCTTTTCATTGCTTTGTTCCAATTTTGCTTAATCTACCACTTTGCCATGCCTTTGTGTCGGTCTACATGGAGAGGGAGCCGTGAAACATTCTATTCCACAATCCTTTTTACAGGCTGGTGCTGATGTCAATCGAGGGGGCTCCCTTCCGATGACTCCGTTAGTGTTCACTACAGGGTGGGGAGGCTATACCAACTTTGTGAAGTTTCTGTTAAAGGCAGGAGCGGATCCTAATATTCCTGATGCTGTATGTTCTCTATATTTTCTAGATCTATGCTATTCGAACTTATGCTGGTATGAATTTAAGCTGATTTTAGGCTTTGACTATGCCATGAGAAGTTGCACACACCTACCAAAATATTGCCTGTGTAGGCAAAAGGTATGTGTGTGAGCTTCCATTTAACTGTTCATATCAACGATGCATATCATCGTTGCTGACTATTCCGTCTGTTCGGAAATATTTGACATTCTAGTTTGTCAAATTCTGTAAGTTTCATCAAATTATAATAAATTTACCAACATCTATCAAACCAAATTGCACTTATAGAAATCTGACTTAGGAGAAAAGGATATCATCAAATATCCCTCTGATCCAATAAGTGTTGTGGTTTTAGTTCAAATTTGAATCAGTGGGAGTAGCACATTTTGAGTTCTTCTAGAACAAGTGAACAACATGCTCTGTTCTTTGTATATTTGTATATCATTGGCGTGAAATGGTTTTGAAGACGGTGAATGTCCTTGTATTGAACCCACAAGTACCCAAGATATACCAAGTGTTTCCCTATTTAATATGAGGTCGGTGCTTAACATTTGATGAGATACTGAGATCTCATAATACAGCATCCAGGGTAGCCACATTTGTCAAATGTACTCACCCAGCAATCACCAAAACAACTTGAATTCTCTTAGGCTGTGTTTGGATGTATGTATTCAGCTTACTTTATGTTGTTTTCTTCATCCCAATTGTTGGTATTCGTTCATTTACTCTGAAGTGTCAAATTATATTCGTCCTTTCAATAATCGTGGAACAATTTTAAAATTCGTATGTAGCTATTTTCTCCTATAGTTTTATCTATATAATTCATGGGGATTCATAAAAGGTATGGCACTAAAAATCCCTGTTACCTCTCAATCTCAATTATTGCTGAAATACCTGTTTTTAATCCCTTGCTGAAGGAAGGCCTTTTGGTATGCTGTCGGTGTACGTTGACTGTTTGAATTGCTACTAGAATTTAGAAATGCTTGCTGGGATGAATCCTTGTTGACAAGGTTTTTGAGTCGCGACTTGGCGAGTCGCCGCGAGCCCTGCGGCTCAGCGTATAGTCGACGAAAGTCGCTGTATAGTCGCCATAAGTCGCTGTATAGTCGCGAGTCGCCCTGATTTTTGGAAAACGACTTGGCGATTAGTCGGCGACTATACAGCGACTAATCAGCGACTCAAAAACCATGCTTGTTGAGACATTTGGTACCGGTATTATGTAGACCCTGGTCCTCTCCCATGGTTATTATAGTTCACTATATGGTTTATATCTTTTCATAATGTTCAGATTCTGTTGCTGCATTCTAAAGGGTCCTTTAATTATGTACTCCCTATGTTCCACATTGTTGTCGTGGTTTTAGTTCAGAACGACAATAATTTCGGAATGGAGGGAGTAGTTAATTTCAAAAAAGTTGACATTTTTCCTTTTGTTGCACAGTATGGTAGGTTACCGATAGAGCTTGCTGCTAGACGTGACTGCATGGAAGAAGTTGAAATCTTGTTTCCTTTGACATCCCCAATTCCAACCATCCCAAACTGGAGTATAGATGGAATCATCTCGCATGCAAAATTGGAACGTGCAAAGCCACTGGTATGTTATTTATTCTGGATAATGCTTGTACATAGTCCAAAGCATGTCTCCTATATTGTGGATGTGAAGTTTTGAACTGTGAAATACACCCATGTATATGCTCTTTTAGTAATATTATAAAAAACCAAGTTGATGATGATGGTGTGTCTGCCATCCTGCAATATAGACCGTCCGATTTATATCCGACGGAGAAAGCAAACTATAGCAATTTTACAAAAAGACACCCGCACCTCTCTCCACATTTGCATCTAAGGTCTTCCCTCGTTCATCCTTATCTCACATAACCTCATTGTTGAGCAATTAAAAAAAGAAGCCTCTGGAACAATCTGGCATGGTGGCCGCTGCCGGCGTCGTCCATCCCCATGCCGGAGCTCAGTCCGACCACCTACCATCACCACGCCCCACTCCTCCTCACCTTATCTCTCCTTTCTTGTCTCCCCCACTCCGCTCAGTCTGAGCTGTTGGGACACGGACGGTGCCATCTACGTGCTTGCGGAGGTCAGTGTCGGAGAGGATCTGCATCAGCAGTGTACGTGCTGAGTTAAGTAAACCTGCAGATGCCGTTAGTTTTTACACGTAAGATTACTCCCTCATGGGTCAATCACAACAGATTTTTTGTAAAATCTGTGCATCTTGGTGTTCCGTGCAATGCACGGGCATCTTGCTAGTAGTAATACTAGTAAGCGTACGTGCAATGCACATTCATATTTGGTAGAATATAATTTGTAGAGATATTTGGTAGAATATTAATTGCACATTGATATTAGGTAAGATATTAATTGCACGGTAATTATGTGATTATTGCTGATATTGATATTTGGTATAACATTTATTGCATGTTAAACATGTAGAGCGTTTGTCATTGAAGCAATCTTGGTCGTTGGATTGACATGAATTGATGGGCCGAGATTAGTTGGATCTGCCCCTTTGGGTCTTTTTTTATTGGTATAGATATAGATATAGTAATAATTTGACATATTAATTATAAATAATGTCGGACCTTTTCCTCTTGTGATTAAAATCTTGTGTGAGCAACTTCTGCCATTTGTTATGTTAGTATACTTGACAAGTTACCAAATGTGCACTTTGCATTGCTGCATAAGCATATCTAGATACAAAGCTATAAAGAATGTCTAACAGAGTTGTTAAGTTTCTATTTTAATTGAAATATCTTTGAAATGACGCTTCATTCCTACATTTTTTTTCTTCCAATGTTCTATCATTCAGGGTGGAAGGCACCTTGAACAAACAAAAGCTGTCCTCAAGTCACATGCAGATCAGGTATTCAGGCTCAAGGACTATAAGTTGGCATCAAAAGCATATGGTGTGGTAAGCCCCTTAAACCTTGTCTATGGAGTATGGTGGTTTAGAAGGTAACCTTTTTCTATTAACAGGGAACCAATAGCAGAACATTATTTGTTTGGTAACCAGTTTTCTACTATTGTTCTCTAGTTTCCTGCTTATTAGGTGTTAATTTGCCATTAATATGTATTCCTATTGGATTAATATTAAATCTGCGGGACTAATCTTAACCTGCCACAGTGAGATGATAATCGTATAACCTGTTATGTTTGACCATAGGCAATAGCTGTCGCGCCGAGTGCAACATTGTACGCGAACAGGAGTCTTTGCAAACTGCTGTTGGATGATGGTGAAGGTGCTCTGTCAGATGCTCTCAGATGCAGAATGCTGCGACCTAACTGGGCGAAAGCTTGCTACCGTCAGGCTGCAGCTCACATGCTACTGAAAGTGAGTTACTACATGTCCAGCTTGCCATTGTGTTTCCCCACTGTGTCTACATAGTCGCTCATGTTCCTCCTTTGACGTGCTCTATGCTTAGGAGTATAAACAAGCTTGTGATGCTCTCCTGGACGCCCAAAAGTTAGATCCTGGAAACATAGAGGTCGAGAGAGAGCTACGGTAATCTACTGTCTTGTATTTATCTCTTTTTATTTGAGTATACGTCTTGCAAGCATGAACAGCATATACTTCCATGCTAGTGACCAGCAGTTGCATGCTGGACCAGCGTGCCGACTGCCGGGTGCCATCCTTCCATATATCTGATGGTGCTGCGATTACAGCTGAAATTTGTTTCATTTTGGTTAACTCTGTACAGGAAGGCCAGGGAAATAATGAAAGCTCACGGTGAGGCTGACAAGTGAAGCGTGCTTTGTTAGGGAAACACTCTTTTTGGCTTGGATTAGAGTAGTTGATCAACTGAATGTGACCAGAAGTAAGCTGGTGGTACCTAACTTGAAAGTCTCACTCTAGAGTCGTTGAATTTCTAGAGTTCTTACTACTGCTACTTGTTGATTGCATGCTGAGAGGATTTGGTGTGAAAAATGTGCTGTACCTAACTTAAAATCTAACTCTAGACTCGTTGGATCTAGCACAAATGGCCTACCTGTTGAATATTTGCTGATTTTTCGGACACCCTCTCATTTGCATCTTCTAACAGTTTATTACGGGTCATTCAGTCACTCCCTGAACATGCACGAGGAAGTTCTGTTCAACAATGTTGCTCGCTGATCATTTCAATTGTAAATTTGTAATACATTTACGAACACTATCATTTGCCTTGTGTTTGATCAGAAATCTTCACTCAGTCGGTGCAAACCCTTGGAGCCCTAATCTAGAGGCCTTGTATGAAAATGGAGAGATTCCAAAGAAATTCAGAAGAATCTGACAAACCGCTAATCTAGAGGAGTAAATAAATATCTAGAGGCCAGGGACAGACTCTAGGTTCGAAACAGGATGCTTAAGTCACTTACTATTGTACATCTCTTTAGGGCTAATTAAACACATGCCAGGGATTTATTCTTGCCCTGTCAAAGCCACTTTAGGCTCTCCAAAATGTGCAGGTTAGCACATTCTTGTTGATGGCCGGTAAATGAAATTTCTAGTTGTTGAAGAAAAAAAAAAGTACTAGCTGAAGTAAATATCTTTCATCATTAGATCCATCCATCAATATATCCTCAAATTGTATTTATTTGATATTGCGAAGGTTGATGTGTTTCCAATAAATGGTGAACGTAAATGTATTTTCTATGCAAAAAAGATGTAAATGTATATTTTTTGAATGTGTTGACATATTTTGGGCGGCGACCAGCCTGCTTCCAACATTTGGCCCAACCCAAAGAAGAACATGCCCAACCCTAAGCAGGCAGGCACGAGCTCACTCCACTCGCTAGCCACTACCGCCTCCACAGTCCACACCACTTCGCCGGCCATGTCAAATCGCCGTGTCTCGCCGCCGGAGCCGTTCATCGGCGTCAGCATGGAGCGGTTTGAGGCCAGCCTGGAGAGCGACGGCTTCGGACCCGGGTCGCTGGGGCCCGGCATGGACATGGTGAGGACCGTCGTCCAATGCTCCCTCCCCATGCCGCCCGTCTCCCACGCCGCCCCTCTCGCGCTCGCCGGCGCGGCCTGGCTCCCCGGCGGCGCCGACCGCATCAGCGCCCTCCCCGACCGCCTCCTCCGCGACATCACCTCCCGCCTCCCCGCCGCGGACGGCGCGCGCACCGCGGCGCTCGCCTCGTGCTGGCGCCCCCTCTGGCGCTCGGCGCCCCTCGTCGTCGCCGACACCCACTTCCTCCCCAACGGCCGGTGGATCCCCGGTGTCGGCGAGGAGGATTCGCCCGGGGTCGCCGACCTCGTCACCCGCGCACCCGGGGCCCTTCCGCTGCGTCCACCTCACACGCACCACCATGGACGCGCACCGGGGCGAGATCGCGCGCTGGCTCGACGTCCTCGCCGCCAAGGGCGTCCAAGAGCTCGCCTTTATCAACCGCCCGTGGCCGCTCGACATCCGCCTCCCCGCCACGCTCTTCCGCTGCGCTGCGCCCCCCTCACCCGCCTCTTCCTCAGCGCATGGAGGCTCCCGGACACGGCCGCCGTCCCGCGCTCCGCCGCCATCCCCAACCTCCGGGAGCTCGGCCTCTCCCTCGTCGTCGTGGAGGACCGCGACCTCGCCTTCCTGCTCGACAGAAGCCCCGTCCTGGATATCCTCACCGTCATTCTGTCACAGGTCCCGGTGCGCCTCCGCCTCGTCAGCCACAGCGTGCGCTGCGTCCAGCTCTGCTATTCCATCGTGGCGGAGGTCTTGGTGGACTGGTGGTGGACGCCCCTCGCCTGGAGAGCCTCTTGCAGTGGACGGGCCTCACCAGTATGTCCCGGAGGTGCTGCAGGGTTAAGATTGTCCATGCGCCCAAGCTGCGTGTTATTGGATACCTTCAGCCAGGAGAACATGACTTGGAGATTGGCAACACCTCTATCAAGGTCATTACATTGTACTAGTAGTTAGTTCATAACTTCATATGTATACATTTGTCAGTAACATGTGTGCCATGCCATCCAAAATATGATCTTAATTAGCATATCTTCAACATTTGCATTGCAGGCTGGGACTAAGTTGACCACCAGCACCCTTGTCCCGAGTGTCGAGATCCTGGCCTTGGAACTTAAATTCCAAGTCCGCAGTGACCTCAAGAAAGTGCCTAACTTCCTCCCATGTTTTCCCAACGTCGAGACGCTCCATATCCAGGTATTCGAAGATCATTTTACATTACCACTATCTATCTACGTAGCGTGCTTAGCTAGATTAATTGCTTTATGATCCAATTTGATACCTTCCTTTTTTGCAGTCTGAAAAGGCGTGTGAGGAGCCTACCGGCAAGGTCGGTCTCAAGTTTTGGCTGGAGGGCAGTCCCATTACGTGTATCCGGCAGCAAATGAAGAAGTTGAAATGAAGTTGCTTTCCTTAAGTTCATCGCCGAGAAGGCTCGGGTGCTGGAGAAGATGGTGGTTGTGGTCTACTTGTCTTCGGAGGTTGACGTGAGTGCCATGCTGAAGCCTCTGACTTGTGCAAAATGGGCAAATGAAGCTTGCAAACTCCAAGTATACAAGAGCATATTCAGCTATGAGTCACGTCCGGTTTATGGCGTCAGGCTGGCATCAGAGGTTTTGCCCGCTGACCCTTTTGACTTGAAAGACTATTATGAATTGCTGCTGTAAGGTTAATAATTAGTAGCATTGTTCCTCTGTTAGAAGACATTCTGGCAGGTACTTAGATCTGATTGTTATCAGACAACTTGTATCTATCTATCTGCAGTTCAGGTCATTTCTCTAGCAAGTTGCTTCCGTGATGTTACATCACAAAACTTCCGTGTTCCTTGGAATGTTGGCTGTCTTTAGCTTATTATTCTGTTTGCTGCTCGTGTGCCTGAATCCTGATTATCTAGTATGTTATGTCCATTCTTGTTAGAGTTTAACTTGTTGTTTTGTCACCGAGTTGAATAAGTGTACGCCTATGTTCATAAGTATGAACAGCACAACTGTGTGGTGTGCTGAAGTGTAGCGGCATGTTGCAGTTTGCCTGCAACTAAAGCCAACTTGCATAGGTGACAGAATGTGTTTCTGTCCTGGTGAGTTGAACCGCTGGGTGCGGTAGTTCAGTGTTTAAGTCAGTTTAGGCATAAATGTTTAGTCATTCGTTGTAATGAACAAGCTAATTGAAAAAGAAGAAGAAAAGGGCATGTGTTGCCCGGAACCAAATAGTACTGTCTCCTCTGTTTTTTCTCCGAAACTCTGAAGCAGCCATTGTTCCGAAAACTGCGTGCGTGTGTCCACAGAAATCAGAGAGCGACAGAGACTGATAGTCTGAGCCTACATTTCTGATCTGTTGAGCTGCAAATCAATTATGTTATCGAGCTATTGGAGTTGGTTTGACTTGTGGTCATCTGGTCCTGTTTCGAAACTAGGAGGTCGAACTTCGCAGGCACAATCCTCTGAATTCCTTTTGCATTTCTCCAATCTCATACAAGGCCTCTGGATTAGGGCATCTAGGGTTTGAACCAATTAAATGGATTAAGAATTATGCTCAAACTCTTATGCCGTTGCCATTTTACATGAAGGTAGGAGTTATTGTATTCTAGTGAGGTATTTATATGTTTTTTACATGAAGAAGGTAGCAGTTATCTGGGGTATCTTGATGGAAACTATTATCTATCTCAGGTATGATTCACTTTGTTTTCTCTTTTTTCTTTATATATTACATATTCCTTGCACGTATCTTTGTTGATGTTGAAATATATGGATACGATGGAATCGACTTGATTGTGAACTTAGTGAGGTTATAGTGGCACTGGCCACATTAAGGGGTTTCACCATTTTGTGTGGATCTGCACGAGTGTCATTTTTCAGTAGCGACCATCAGTTCCCTGTGATGTGTTTCCCGAGTAATTTCAGTTTAATCACGTGCCTCAGCTATTATCCATGTTTGCCCAGCTTTGTCATTGTTGTCGTATAGATTACCAGGAAACGCCACTTTTCACTGAGGTGTAACTTCAAAATACACATGTTTATTGATCGATCCAACTACATTACTTGATTCTCTTGTGTTCTTTGTCATTGAAAGATCTGCCGTTACACTGAAATTAGTTCTCTGTACAGATTTGCCACTTTGCGCGTTATTTGGTAATTTGCTACTAGAGAGGCTGCTTCTGCTTTCCTCGCGGGGTGTTTAGTGGTGCATGTTTTTCTTCATGCATTTTCTCTATATGTAAACGCAGATCTGTTTCAGTAATGATTTGCTTTACATATGTAGTGCTTGGTGCCAATGAACCTCCTCTGAGAGCTGAACAATACATGATTTATTTTTTGGATTTAGAGGACGTTTGGTCTTTGAATACCAGTAGAAATATTTGATACTGATGTTTTGTTTGCCAATTGCTCTCCTGTATGTGTTGCTTTGCCTCTACCTATGGTGTACTACGTCATTCTTCCCATCACGGTTGAAAGAAACTGATCCATAGTAATTATGAAGTGTTTCTGTGTGCCTTTTTGCTTCTTTTCTATTCGTGGTCCGAAGGATGATCGCTGGTTCTGTAGGGAGAAGCTCATTTTAAACTCTCTTTGGAGCTCATGTACATTTTCTTGATGTCAAAATGATAGCAGTTTAATCCCCTGTCAACCCTGAACTCCCTCCTTATCCTGGAAAAGTTGATATGACTGTCGCTGTTCAGCCGGAGCCTGTGCTTGCCCCTGCTTCCATTTACATCTCTGAAGAACAGACTGCTGACACATCCGTTGGCTTGAAAGACTCTGATGCCGCTAGCCTATACCTGCATCCACCCTCCTCTCGCGACCGCGTCGCCCCCGCGGGCGACCGGTCGCGCCTCCAGCGCCTCCTCCCCGAGCCCCCCCCCTCCCCTCTCTCCTAGCCGCCGTCACTGGCGTCCGGCCGGGCCTGGCCCGGGCGGCGCTGGCGGCGGCGGCCTCTGGCCTTTTCCCCTCGCGGGTCGCTCCGACGCGGGGCGGGGTGGCGCTGCGGGGTGCTCCCAGGCGGCGGCGGTGCTCTCCGGCGTGGTGGCGGGGGATCTTCTGGGCGGCGGCGCTGCCGTTGGCGGCGGGGTGGCGCGGCGATGCGATCTGGCGGCGCCCGCTCGGCCCAGATCTGGGCCCTTCGGGCCCCATCTGGGTCTGGGCGGGCCGGCGGCGGGGAGGGTCGTCGGTGTGGCTTCCGGAAGGCAGGGGAGCGGCGATGAGCGGGTGGATGCTGGCGGCGCTGGTGCCGCCCTGCTGCAGCGTGGCCGGCGGGGCTTTACGGGCCCAAATCAGGCCTGGCCGGGCCAGGGGTGGCCTGGTATGCCCTGCTGCTGCGTCCGGACGGCGACCGCGACGATGCCGGAGACTTGGGCCTCCCGCATGACTGCGGTGGAGGTAGTTCCCTCCCGCGTGGTTCCGGTGCTGCTGCTCCTGTCGCCTCGTGCGTCTCTCTCCTTCCTCTTGGCCTCGTGGTGGTGATCTCGGTGAGGCGGCGTGGGTGGCGTCAAGACCGCGGTGGCGCATGCTGGTGGGCGGCGAGGTGGCTGGTTGGCTTCGGCCTGGTTGGGCGGTGGGGCTTGGAGTGCGGGAGAAATCCCTTGCCGGCTCTCTTCCGGCTCCGATGCGGTGACACCTACGGTTGCCACCATCCCTTCTTGGAGGGTGTCGGATGTATCCATCCCCCACTTCCTTTCGCGTGCCGGGGGAAACCCTAGGACATGTCTGGGCAGCAGCGTCGTCGACGTCGCATCCCTTGCTGGAGGTGCTGCTTGGTACGCGGCGGGTCGGAGCCTGGGTCTGTGGTGGTTCAATTTCGAAGGGCGCAGCGGTGGCGGGTCATCCGCGCTTTGTCGAGCTGCCGTTGTTGGCATTTCTTTTTTCTTCTTTGTTCTTTCTCTTTCATTTGGGCTTGTTGTGCTTCTCGCCCGAGCACTCCTCTGTATCGGTGTTGGTTGCTTTGTAATACAAAGCGGGGGGAAACCCTTTTTCGGTAAGACTCTGATGCTGGCTTCGTCAACGATATTAAGGAGATCAGAGCATCTGAGAAGGTTATCATAGAGGATCTGCACCTTATTCGACCACCGCTGTCCTCTCCAGCTATTGCAGTAACTTTGGCTGGCACTGCTTTTGCCATTGCTTCAAGCAGGATCCTTAATGCTCTTCATGCAGGATCTATTCTGATTACTTCCTCTCTTGGGCCTGTATAGACAGAAATCTTACACTACGCTACAGGAGTTTTTGCCGAGCCTATCCTCTTACCCTCTGAAGAAAATTTAAGTGAACTTGTCCATCAAGTCTCCGCATGCTGTTTCGAACATGAAATGAAGATTTCTGAAGTTGAGCTGGCCCAAACGTGGATGGATATCTCTCCTCAGTACAGCCAACCTGTGCCTAATCTCAGAGCCCAAGTGATCAATGAAGGCATCGACCGAAGACTGCTATTTTGGCTATTTTTTGATCCTCTGCAGGTTCATGATATCCTATTTTTCGTTTTCCAATCATTGCCCATCTTTAGCTTAGGCCTCTTTGTCTTTTGTTTAAATCTTGTCCTTGGCGAACCTATAGTGTGTATTTGGCATATCCTGGACCTGGACCTTGTCGCTATGAGCTACAAAAATAATGTTCGACCGTACAACATTGTGTGTCCGACTTGCATCATGTAGTGTCGTGCGGTCGGCTTCGGAGCGGTAAATAAAACTTTTTGCATTGCAGCATTGTCGGTCCAGTTTGCGAAAGCTTTGATTGGCCGCCATTGCAACATTGTGTCTCGGTTTGCAGCAGACCCTGCATCATGAAGCACCTACCTTGCAACATGCACCATCACACAACTGTGCAGTATGACCATTCGGCATTGCAGCAAAACCGTCAGGAACAAAAATATTCTATGCACGCAATATTCAAACTGAATCAATTGTTGCAAGCGCTTGCAGCATGGAGCAATGTTGTAGCAGACACTCCAAAGTGGT